ACTGCCCATATTGATTCTGTGGGGGGTGGCTAAAGAGTGTCCCTGGGGCCATATTTCATGAGCATCAGTTTTATTCAAATTCTGTGAAAAACACATACAAGATGCTCCACTGTGTTATTAACTCATCTCCTGGTACCATGAAGCCCAGAGGAGAGTAGGATAGAGGAGTTAGAGACAGCAGTTATGTGTGACCCACTGTTTCTGTGATGAGACACCAACCATTAGCATGGCCATTCTTTGAAGAAAACCTTTAATTGTAGTGGCTGGCTTTCATTTTCAGAGGTTCAGTCCACTGTCATGAAAGGGAACATGGTGGCATGCAGGCAGACATGGTGTTGAAGGAGCTGAAAGTTCCTACATCTTGCAAGTAACAGGATGGAGACTGTGACATGTGAAGCTTAAGTAAAAGACCTTGAAGCTTACCTCCACAGTAACACACTTCCTTCAACAAGGCCATACCTACTCCAGCAAAGCCAAACCTCCTAATAGTGATATGCCCTATGAGATTATGGGGGCAAAATTACATTCAAACTACCACACCCAGTCAGATACAACAGTTTCTATCTCCAGAAGCTTCAGGCAGATTTTTAATATCTACCCACAGAAGAGATGCTTGGAGAGGCCAGTGTCATTGTCTGCACTCCTGGATGATGGAGCCTTCTTTGGAGTCTGCTCTGACAGGCATTCTTGATGACTTATGTCTCTACCAACTGGAGGACCTGCTGAATGGGGTCCCTTATTGCTTGTGGTCCCGTCTAGTTGGACTCAAAGTTAATTGGAGTTCCCTCCAGCTGGTATCATCATTGAATGTAGGCACTACTCACTGGAGACCACACAAACTAAAAACCCTGCTGACTGTTACCCAAACTCAATGGAGTCATAAGCGTTCCTGATGAATGGAGTTGCCTGTGACTGAAGTTCCCACTGACAGGCATCCCTATTGGCTAGTGTACCCACTGACTGGCATCCCTATTGCATGGTATACCCACTGACTAGCATTCCTATTGGCTGGAGTACCAACTGACTAGCATTTCTATTGGCTGGAGTACCAACTGACTGGAATATTTGTTGACTGGAGTCCCTGCTAACTGAGATGCCACTCCCTGTTGAACTCCCTGCTGGCTGTGACACAATCAGTTCTACTTATCTCAGGTGGTTGCCTTAACCTCTAAGATTGGAGTGGACAGACAGTGAAGGGAGGCAAAAAGAAGGAGTTTTATTTCCAACATGGAGCAATAATTCAGACAAAAAGAAATAGAAATACAACCCATAAAGTAGAAACCCCAAGACCCCAGTGGCAGCAGGATGTCAACCAAGAGAGACTGGGGGAGAGACAGCTGTCAGCTCTCAGAGGCCTCCAAAGGCAATGAAGAAGCAGTCCTTTGGAGAGAGCAGTTCCCAGAAGCAGCAGGTCTCAGAGCGTAAAAGTGTAGGTAATCCTTTCCTCATGAGCGAGTCCCTCTGCTGCAATTGCACGTTGAATTTTAGTGGATAAAGCAGAAATGTGCTCCCAGCCTGAGCTGGAACATCAAGTCTGGGGTAGTCCATTTGTGGACAGTCTTGAGGGTAGGAAGCATCAGTCCCCCTGCTCTTTCTGTTCTGACAAGCAGGGCAGTGTGTCTGACTCTGAAGTCCCCAGTCTTCCTCTGATGTCAGGTTGCCTGGTTGCTAGGGTACCATCCAGAAATAGGAGCCACATGAGATGCAGACTGGGAAAACATAGACTTACATGCGGATTGGCTGGGCTTCTGCATGCACTGAGGTGGAGAGGCCAATTAGGATAAAACCTGTCAAACCCAGAGAAGAGAAAGTCAAAGGCTGCTAAAACAGTGGTGGTGGTGCCTGTCCCTTCTGTATGAAAGAGGAAGCTGTGAAGGAGGGATGGGGGACTGCACTGTGTTCCCAGACTGTGCCTGAGGATTTGCTTGCACCCTCATCTGGCAGCCAGAAGGTTTGTTCCTTGTTTTAGTTGCTGTTTATTTTTAGCTGTGTGTTTTGTGTCAATGGCCCTCTTGCCATCAACTGGAATTCCCTGAGAGACTCCCAGAGGACAGGAATACTCCCATGGAGAAACCTCCACTATTTCTCACCAGGAAAGAAGAGTTCGTGGCAGGCAGGATTTCCCACACCTCTCCTTCTGCAGCTGTATGTGTTCACATAAGAAAAGCAGCATAATGATGACAGGTTCATGGGCTCAGTGTCCAGTGACTGGCCACTTTAAGTGCAAGGAAGCACACAACTGGGATTCTCAGTGACTGTGTTCACCCTGCTCAGCACTGCTCTCCAAGCTGGTTCCTCTGAAACTTAGTTCTTTGTCATTTTCTCTCCCCATCTCTTCCTGTTCCAACTAACACACAACCAGCACACCCAGGACCACACCTTCCCCCTACCCTCCTCCATTTTCATTCTCTGGTAAACATCTTTTGCCTCTTTATTGATTCTAGCTCAACATTTTAGGTTCTTTATGAGTAAGATAGTTTTATTTGTTTTAGATAAGGATCTACCATCATTGTGCTTTTGGTTTTCAAAGAAAGTTTTTCAGCCTCTAAGAAAAAGCAGGCAGAGCCAGGCTGTGGTGTCCACACCAGTATGGCAGAGGCAGAGAGGCAGAGAGGCAGAGAGGCAGAGAGGCAGAGAGGCAGAGAGGCAGAGAGGCAGAGAGGCAGAGAGGCAGAGAGGCAGAGAGGCAGAGAGGCAGAGAGGCAGAGAGGCAGAGAGGCAGAGAGGCAGAGAGGCAGAGGCAGAGGCAGAGGGATCTCTGGGAATGACAGCCTGGTATATAAAGAAAGTTCCGGGACAGCCAGAGCTGTTACACAGAGAAACCCTCAAAAATCAAACAAACAGCTGGGCAGTGGTAGCATATGCCTTTAGTCCCAGCACTTGGGAGGCAGAGGCAGGCAGATCTCTGTTGAGTTCGAGACCAGCCTCATCTACAAGAGCGAGTTCTAGGACAGCCTCCAAAGCCACAGAGAAACCCTGTCTCCAACAACAACAAAAATCTATCAAACAAACAGGTAGGAAAAAACTCAACCTCGCATTAGGGGTTGACAAACATTAACCACTTAAGACTTGGGTAGCCCAGCTGGGAGACTAAACAGAATGTAACAGGATCGAATGAGGAGGCACACAAACATCCAGGGGAAGTCATCTGGGGACAATCTGAGGCATCCACCTTGGGTTTCAATTTAGCTTTCACTTGAATGAGATTCCCTGTTGAACATTCTGGCTATTCATACCCACTGAAGGCACTTTTACATCATGGGACAAACAATAGTCAGCTGTGTGGGAAATAGTCAACTCTGTGGGAAATAGCTGTTCTTAGTGACAATAATTTTACTCTTGGGCTGTTTTGCTCCTACTTTTTTTCTTCTTGTTCATGAGTTGAGGGACAAGCCCATCCTCAAATCTCAAATACTAAGAATTGTAAGACACTTTGAAACAAATATGCTTGTTTCTGAAGTTTAAGGGACTCTACTTCAGGCTGTGCTGAGTAAGTTTTTGTTAGTATGACATAAGCTTGGGTTATATGGAAAGAGGAAACCCTGCTGAGGAAATCCTCCATCAAATAGCCTGTGAACAAATGTTTGGGGGCATTTTGTTGTTTAATGATGGATTTAGGGGGCATAGCCACCGAAGGTAATATTGCCACTGGACAGATTGTCATGTAGGGTATAAGGCAAAGAGCTGAACATGATCAAGGGATAGATCCTCTAAAATACATTCTTCTATGGTATCTGCTTCAATTCCTGCCCATAGGTTCCTTCTCTATTCGAGTTTCAACTTTGGATTCCTTCAATGATGGGCTGTGATTGGGACACGTAAGCCAAATAAACCCTGTGCCCTCACCCCATTACTTTGGGCCAGTGGTTTATCACAGCAGTAGAAAGCAAATTAAGACAGAATATTGTACCACAATTGTGGGGTATTGCTGTGACGGAACTGACCAGGGTGGTTTGCAGAGGATTGTGGAAATGGTTGCAACCTTGCACTGAAAAGCCTTGTTCTCAAAGCTTACTGGGATGTCCTGTGGAGCATAGCAGAGGGGAATGCTGAGAGAATGCAAACAACAGAGGCATGGATGGTGATGTTTGAAAAAGACTGCCACACCATTCATTCTATGTTTTGAATCAATAACCTATGGTTTCTGGTTAGCAGAGGCTGGAGAATCAGCTTTGATTAACAAGAGACCAGAACCATGAAAGTGAAACCTTGCTTAGATGGGACAATTGAAGCAGTGTAAACAGTGTAAGCTTAGCTTACACTGAGACATCAGTAATCATGAAGACACAGGCATCACAGAAGCAAAATCTCCTGGAAGGTATTTTCTCAGTGTCATCACATAGAAGTTGTGGTCCAGTGGTGGCAAAGGCCACATCTCATGCTGGCAGCCAAACTCAATGTGTAAGAATTTCCCATGTGGTACTGGCTTAGGATGCATGAGAGCTGAAGGGTTAAAGGGATGTGGAGAACAGCTGGGGCTTGGCACTGTGAGAGGCTAGGAGATGCCACTGTTGAAGATGTCGCCTCATTGCAATGCAGACCCCAGCATAATGGAGATGTCAGGACTCTGGGATGATCACCAAAAACAGTGACAAGTGTGGCTTAAGTCAGGTTGACCTGACAAGATGTGTGTGCTGTAGATGCCACAGGAACCCAGGGGAGGAGTGGCCCAAGACCTTTGGAGCCCAAAAGATCCTTAGTTTTGGGCCTAGGCTACTGAGCCACAGTTTCTGATTTACAGTGGACTTTGGTTTTGATTTGATTTGATTGTGACTAAGTCCTGACTCTTTCCTCTTGGAATGAGAAAGAATTTAAGTTGTTTTTGATTTTATGGGAGTCCACATCTCACAGTATCTAGATGCAACCTACCAATTTGTTGCACACAAGAGCTTAAAAATAACTGTCTATATACAAGGACATGAGTAAAAGCATAGATAAAAGCAAATATAGAAAAGTACCTGGACCATGCCTTGCACTTCTTGTCATCTCATGGTATCCCCTCACTTTTTGGAGTACACCTTCCTTGGAGACTTTTTGTGGGGTGACATGCAGCAGCATAGTCTGAGAATGCATGCCCTAATCCTCTTCTTACATTTTGCCCGGCCCCTGGGCTGCAGGGAGCTTGAGGTTGAAGTCCCGCTGTGTTTCAGGCTACTTAAGGTCCTTTCTGACTGGGAGCTAGTGGAAAAGCTGGTATCGTCAACATATATGATAGTGTTTCTTAGCAGGCAAATACATGGGGCAGTCATAGAGCGTTTGTGACCCCTTCCCTGGGTGGGTGTCTTCTCGAGCAGGTCAGGGACATTTGTCCTCATCCTTTGTCTTAGATGAGGGCTTCCAGAGGATGGGACTAATGTCCGAAGGGAAGGTTCACTAGCCCGCCTCTTGGGTGGCAGGGGGAACATGTTAGGGTTTTCAATAGAAGGGAAGGGTGTTGCCCCTGGGTTCATTAACTTTGTGTGGACATTATTGCCATTGTCCTGGCATGCCTGACATTTCAGTAGGTTGTATGCAGCCATTGTTTCGTTGAACTTCCTGTGTTTCAAAGATTCTCTTATATCCTGAACATCAAACCCAATGTTTTGCATGGCTGCTACAATTTCAGGGTCTGGGCAGCGGGTGACTTCATTGGAATGAATTGTAAACATCTCTTCCCCTTTCTGAAGCCATGGGTGACCCCTGAGGTCCCAGACCATTGGCCTCTGTCTCGCGTTCATTGTTAGCAATAGGCTAATCATGCTCCTCAATTCTTTGGAGAGCCGATAGGGGATGTCATACTTCCCTTTCAGAACTTGTTCCCTAAGTTCTGACAAGGTGGCCCCTCCAAATGGGACAGTCCCTGTCACCATATAGTATAAGAGGACCCCCAAGGTCCAGATGTCTACTTTGGGGCCATCATAAGGGATGCCCAGAAAGACTTCTGGAGGAATGAACTGGAAGGCTCCACATAACCTTTCCAACTTTTGTCCAGGCCTGAATCTGGCACCTAGGCCAAAGTCAATAATTTTCACCTTTCCCTGCTCATCCACTATGACATTGTCAGGCTTTAGGTCTCTATGAATGACACCTTCATCGTGGCAGTAGCCTATGGCACTGAGCAGCTGAACAAATATGCTTCTAGCCTCATCTTCCTTTAGGCATCCAGCCCTCTGGATGCGATTAAATAGCTGTTCTCCCTCAGCCACTTCCATAATTAAATAAATGTTCTGTTCTGTTTCTATCACCTGCAGGAGGGAAATGATGTTAGGATGGCTGAGAATCTTCATGATGTCAACTTCAGAAGTCTTCGACTCGCACCACTTCTCCTGCCTCAGCAGAGCTTTCACAGCGACTGTCGTGCCTGTGAGACGATGCCGGGCCAGCATGACCTTGGCAGTGCCACCCTGGCCTAAGGCTTTCAGGATGGTATACTGCCTGGTGAACACCTCTTCATCAAAGAAGCTGGGCACTGTGTTGGGCTCTGAGGCTCCGTCCTCATTGTCACTGGACAAGGCTGCTCGAGTTGCTGCTGTCACAGAAAGGGGTGGGGGCAGGGAGATAGAGAGGGATGTACAGAGACATGAGGAATGAAAGCAACGCAATCTGGGGGAAATAAGGTAAAACTACAGGACAAAGTAAACATGATACAAAGAAATAGCTTTTAAACTAGAGCACCAAAGACACACAGACAAAATCCACACTCCACATCCAAACCAAGACCTAACCCATAATCCAGCGAAGTCGAAGGGCCACAGGTCAGGAATGTTCTTGATGTTACTCGAAAAGCTAAAACAGAAAGTAGGGAATAGGGAAAGAAATGAATGGTATAAGAATGATTGTGAAAAAATATCCAAAATGAAACATTTTCTAAAACCAATAGCCCAGACCCAAGACCAACTACTTACAATACCAATCAAAGAAATCCAAGATAAGGCAGAACTCCTGAAGAAATCAAAACAGAAACAGTAGCACACAAAAATCTATTAAGTAAACTGAGGTAGACAGGCAAAAGTAAATAGCAAACCAAATAAATACTAAGTATTAGAAAATCAAAACTAGCCACGAGCCAAACAGGTGTAAATTCCACAGGTCAAGTGAACTACTATTGATCTATGAATACTTTTAAAAAGTAAAAGGTTAAAGAAAACAAAAATGAAATTTTTAAATATAACAAAAATTCAATTCAGAAAAAGTAAAAAAAAATAAAGCCCCAAACACAACTATTAAACACCCAAGAAAAATAAAACCAGAGAAAAAATAATATAAGCAGAAAAATAAGTAAACAAAACTAAAAATAGAAAACCAAGTATCCAGGAGCTAGAGCCTCCTACAGTGAAGATATTTGCCACTCAAGCATGATGTCCTGAGTTTAATGCAAAGTATCACTCCTCACCACAAAAATAAAAGCAAAAGAACCACCTACCCAAAATAGGTCCAGTGTCGGTAGCTTTAATCTCAGCATATAGCTAACAAAGGCAGATCCCAGAGGCTCCATGGCCAACCAGCCTAGCTTAAGTGGCAAAATACAGGCCAGTGAATGACTCTGTTTCGGAAATTAAGGTTATCAACATACCTTTAGTAAGTCACTGAAGGTTGAGCCCTGGCCTTCACCAGTAGCCACACAGAGCAGGCTGATGAACTCGCACCCATTCACAAATACACAAGGATGTATATACACACAGTACACACACCTACACCCAGTCACACCAACACTCAGGACCTCACTAGAGATAAGTAAATCACATGGGTGTAAACTCCAAACCACCTCTCTAAAGCCACAGAAACCCAGGGCAGACCACACCTTTATACCTGCTGGGTGGGCTCTCTCACAATGGCTCCTCATGAGGTCATAGTAGGACATGTGCAGATCATGGCTGTACAAAACTCACAGGAGCAGAAAGGATGAAAATGCATCTGGCTCAGGTAGGCTCTGCAGAGTAACACAAGGCTTTTTAGAAGTTAAAGCTGGACACCATGTGTCGGAGGATCATCCACACACTGCTATCAGCACTGCTAAATACCCAACTGCCCCTAAACTAAAGGGCCATATGCAGATTCCCCGAGTGTAGAGGAGCCAGGCACTGGATGGTGTTCTTGTGTCCTCTCTGTTCCTGTGATAAAATACTCCAACAAAAAAGCAACATGGCAGAGAAGCTAGTTTATTTCAGTGTACAATTCCTGGTTATAGCCCATTGTTGTGGGGAAATCAAGGGCAGGAACCTGAAATCATTAGTTCCATTGCATCCACATGCTAGCTTGATGTCTTCTGCTAGATTAGATGTCTGCTCTCCCATAGTCACTGATAGCTGTGTGTGTGTGTGTGTGTGTGGTGGCAAGTGCGGGGTTATCCATCAAGTCTGATATGTAGCAGTCTGGGGAGAGCAGGCAAATGATATCTCACAGTAGGGGAGAAGTGGTGTATCACTTGGGCTGATTCTTAGCCATGCATAGTGTGTGTGTGTGTGTGTGTGTGTGTGTGTGTGTGTGTGTGTGTATGAGACAGGAAGGACATAGCATCTGATACCTGGTTGTACACGTGGGCAGAGTCCCAGGACTACTGTGTGGCTCAGCCTGACACCCTGAAGTTTTTCTGGGCAAGTAGGAATGACCATCATGGTGTGTAAAATTGCATTGTAGGCTGGAAGGGTAGGGCAGTGGAGAGTGAGCCAACAGTGCCTGATGCCAGGGGGTTCCTAAATGAACTGGTACCTAGCAGTTCATGTGGGCCATGGGTGCTGTCCTACAAGGCCTGAAACCTGCCAGTGCAGGGGGATGAAGAGCAGTCACTAATGCTGGCGGTGTATGAGGGACATGGATGGTGTGGCAAGGGTGAATCCAACCAGGCCTGAAATCCAGTAGTGCATGTGAGGTACAAATAATAAAACAATATGTCAGCCAAGTGGCAGGGCTGTGTCCACTAGGGCATGCTATGAAAATGTGTTTGGAGCTGTGCAGGTCAAGTGGTCCAGATACACAGAAGTAAGTGTGTGGTTTGAGGATATGTTTTGCAGGGTATGATTAATACCACTGTTGGTGGGGGCACTGTAGGTGGATATGTCTAGCACTGCTGGATACCTGTCTGTGTAGTATTAGATATTCGGCAGAGTATGTGGGGCAGTGGATTGGAGAGATAGGGCTGTCAAACAGGGCCTGGTGAAAACAGGATGTGTTGGTTGTCAGTGGGTGGTATCTTGTAACCTGGCCTGGGTGGTGTTTTGAATGAGAATGGCCCTCATAGGCTTGCTTGATTGAATACTTGGTCCCCCGGTGGCTGGAACTGTTGAGAAGTGTTAGGAGGTATGATCATGTTGGAAGAGGTATCATTGGGGGTGGCCTTTGAATTGTCAAAGACTGGTGTGATTCCCAGTGTGTGCTCTTTGGTTTCTCTTTGTGGATCATGATCTTAGTTCCCCCAACCACCTACCTCAGTGTCCCTGCTCCACCATCATAAACTTTCACCACCTGGAACAGTAAACCAAATAAACTCTGTGATTTATAATTTGCCTTGGTCATAGTGCTTTGTCACAGCAATAAAGTAACTAAGACAACCCAATACAGAGCATTTCACATAAGACAGAGGAAAAGTGGCATTGTTTGCACTTACAACCAGGGTATGCCTGTCTAGCATTAACAGTGGGATGCCCAGTGTTACTTGATAAAACATATAGCATGTTAGGTGTCAGTATATGGAGGCTCTCTCGCAGGGCCCATTCACTATGGGAAACAGAGGTATTCATCTTGACTTGAAACATAGCAGTGTATGTGGTACCTTAGGAGGATTGGGTCTTCAATGCAACCCATTCCTAGTAGTACAAGTATGGTGGTAGGGTGTCTAGCAGGGCCTGATACAGAGAAGTTTATGTGGTGTGGAAGAAGTCGGGGTCGCCCTAGCATAGCATGAAACCTAACAGTATGTGAGGCAACAGTGAGAGAGACATGCCCAGCATATATAAATTGGGTATCAGGTCCTGCCCAATACCTTCCCTTACATTCACTCACAGGACACTACTTAGCAGGACCTGCTGAATATAATACTTCCACCACTTCATGTAAAACACTAAGTATCCATCCCTACTGGCCACTACACCCCTTTCACCTTTCTACTTAAGATATGGAGTACCAAGACATGATGCTACCCCAAACTGCATGCATGCACTGTAAGATACGAGACCTACTGCACACTGCAATTTGGGTCTACTAGACCCCTCCCCCATCCTACCTATTGTTCTGGGTATCGGGCCCTAATGGAAACATTCGCCTCATTGTCTCTGTCCGTAAACACACAGCTATATTTCAAGATAGGCGTTACCCTAGTGGATAGATACCTTTCCAGCCTTATTGCCACCCTAAACACACTACTAGGGAACAGGTCTTGTTGGACATCTGACTACCACATAACTTATATGCCCAGGAATCTGTCATGTTAGTGGTTCTCTTCCTGTAGGTAGAGACCCCTTTGGGGTTGCATATCAATTATTTGCATTATGATTCAAAACACTAGCGATGTTACAATTATGAAGTAGCAATGAAAATAATTATATGGTTGGAGTCACCATAACATGAGGAACTGTATTAAAGGTGACAGCGTTAGGAAGGTTGAGAACCATTGTGTCATATGAATCATTGTCACAGAGCAGATCCAATACTTTGTTAGATAGCAGGGCTTTCTGGATTTCTGATCAGAACCCTACATACACTGCTACGTACCAGCCAATGATGGGCATCTTACTATTACTCAACTTATACTATCAGGCAAGATGGAACCAGCATAACCATGTTGCCTCCAACCCCCTACACTGCTGTGTGTCGGGCCCTATTGGACCCACCCCTTGTCTCCCATACAGTGATAGGGACTAGACCTTCTTAGACAATCACCCTTTTACCATTCCACATACGATTCTAGTTTCAGGTCATGCTGGACATCTTCTTTTTCCCAGTAAACTTCTCAGTATCAAATTTTCTACCAAGTTATCAGACTCCGTGGGACACCCTCCTATCATCATAACCAACCCACACCCTGCTAGTGATATTATCAAACCCTACTGGACACCCCATCACTTGAGGCTTCACATAGACTGCCATGCATCCGTTCCTGATGGACAACACTCTCCTTTCCATAAATGGTAGGTATCAGGCCATACTTGATGCTTTCCCATCCTCCTCCTCCAGAGAATACTAAACATCACTGTTTGGCTACGATGATGTGGAACTAATAATTTCACACTGTCTTTCTGCCTGAGGTTTCACAGTACCTGCAGCTATAGGCACAAGTTGGGGTATTAAGCCAAAAAACATAATTTACTATTTACAGCCCTTTTATTATAGAATATTGATAATTTCATGTAGTTGCTTGAGGGTGTCCATGCAGGTGTCAAACAGGGAAGCAAAGAAATGAGAATAAAAACCTGGTTCAGATTGACTTTGTCAACCTGAATCTGTCTTTGGGACGTCTAATGCCCACAGTTCATTGTCAGTATATTTAAAACACAGAACAGTTTGTGAAAAGGTTTCCAGGCAACAATCAGTCCAATTCCAGGTGCACACTAACACTTAAGGTGTGACTACTTAGAAACTCCTTTATAAAGTACATGTGACCATGAGGGCGGGATCTATATCTAAAAGTCCTAGAATCTAGTGTGGTCTTTGACTGACAGCATAGAGGTCAGAAGGTCATAAAGTACATGGGGGCATTTCCCCTAAGGATGGGTAAAATTGTCCAGGGAGGGAAGAGTGTGATAATGGGTTATTTGAGCAAGATATGCCTCTATAGTAAAGGTAGGTGAGGTCTGCCTCCACTGATAGCAGAAAAGTCACCAGGTCATTAACAAAATCGACTCCCAGCCTTCTGGGTGGGAAAGCAGGTATTTGATCTTCCCCATTGAGAATAGTCCCCAGTGTGTTTACCGTTTTCCTAGTGATCTATGGGTGCGAAGACTTTGTGCCCCCCAATACTTGCTTAATTTTGTGCATGTGTGCACACATGTTTATAGATGGGAGAGTGTGTGTTCACCTGTGAAATCCAGAGGTCAACAGCCAGTGTCCGTCACTCTCAATCCAGTATCCACCACTTCTTCAATCACTCCCTACCTTATTTTTTGAGACAGGGCCTTACTATTTTTGAGACCGCTACCCTTACCTAGAGGAACATATTTTGCTCAGTTTGGGTCCTCATGGTTGCACAAACACTTTTTCAGCTGGCCATCTCATCCCTTTACACGTTCCTAGTTTAAATAAAGACCATTCTCTGATGTCATGCCTATCTTTCAAAAACAATAAATATAAATGGCCATTATTTCCACACTGTCTCTTACATATTCTGAGAGACATTAATCACTGTGCTGACAATAAACATGTTCAAGAAAATTTTGGAAACACGATTATCATTTTGGAGAACAATGGGACTTTGTGGAAATCTGACAAGAGAAAAGCAAACGTTTAATTACTTTCCATAGGGAACAGACGCTTCCTTTTGCTTTTTGTTGATGTGAGTTCAAACCATGTGTAGATCTGACCCACCAGTGGCTCAAAGAGGGAAACAGGAAACATATCATCCAGTGAGGACCACTACTCTAGTGTGTTTATAGGATGCCGAGTTAATGTATGTGGAATCCATGGTTTTCACCCACACTGACACATAATAAATTGTTTCATCTGTTTTAAATGCCAACATAGAACAATAATAATCTATTTGGATTATTTTATTCGAAAAAGCAGGAGATAAGTATCAGAGGTATCAGAGGAAGTGTGCTTGCCTAGGCCAGGTGCTAAGTCCATCCCCAGTATCATTAAAAAATACAAAAATAGTTCACAACTCTTCATATCCAGACTCCAGAACAGTCTACCTGCCATCTTCAAGTATTTTTGCAGTGTTAACATTTTAGCACTACATTTTAAGTAAGCTGAATATTCAAAAGACGACTGAGATAGTCGAGTAGCTCTTGGCTCACTGAAAGGGTGGGGGAAAAATAATGGCTGCAATCTGTTAATTGTACCAGACCTGTTTAACTCTCTTGTCCTGTGATATGTAATGTCAGTACCCAGGACTAAGGATCACCATGATTCAACGCCAGCCTGATCTGTTTGCTAAGTTCTACGCCAAGGTTGGGGAGGAGGGGCTGGGGAAAAGCTGCCTTTGATGTTGTTCCGGGGAGTTTATGTTATCAGTGCAAACCTGGAGATTCCTAAAGTCCTGGCTTCTACTGTGGCACTGTCTTCTGCTAATGTCGAGAAGATGCCTTCTGAGCTTTTACAGAAAAGGCCACATTTGGAAGCAAGTTCCGAACAACGAATGTAAAACAGTCTCTACCTCTGTACTACAAGATTGTGCCATCAGAAGGCATAGCTGGGCATCAATAATCACTCCCGGGTAGGCTGGCATTAAACGAGCACCAAGGCGGCTGTCACAACAAAACACCAGTTACCTGAGCCTCATTAAGTTCCCAGGCTTAGTGAAAAATACAACAGGCCTGGGCTCACTGTGAAGTGACCGATTTCCAATGAGCTGCACAAAGCCAGTCCATAAAGGCGCCTCAGGTTTTGAAAGGACTCCCCAGCTGGAAGAGGCTGGCTTGAGAGTACTGAGCTGGGGCAAGGGGCTAGGCTGGGCTGGACTAGGGGCGGGACTTGGAGGAGTGGGGCGTGGCCACAAGACGGGGCGGGGCTGGGATGGGGAGGCAGACCTGACATTCTCAGCTGGTGCTGGATCTGCTGAATTCCACAGACTGGTTGGTCTTGGGTCCTTTGGTCACAAGTCACAGGAGCATGCGCCCTTCTCACCAACGGTCCCACTGGCCTTCGCTAACGGCAGAGCTCAAGTAACTGTAGACTCCTCTGCTTCTTACTGCTCGGAGTGAGCTCTGGAGCGTCTTCCTGGTGGCAAGGGCAATTATGAGACAGTGCACAGAAGCTCATGCGGCCCTAGGGTGACATAGTGGGCCCACGCAGAGCCAGTGAAGCCGCGCAGGGCCAGGCTGATGCTGTTGGAAGTTCATGGAGAGGTGAATGTTTTCACTGTTGAGTTGGTCGACATAGGACAGTCACAGAAACACTTGTGGTCATTGGGGTATGCTTAGCTTGGGCTGTGGGTGGTTAATGGTTAGTTTGTAAATATTTGAGAATTGGTTAAGAAGTATTTAACACTTAGTCTGTATAATGTGATAAGACTGTCCAACTTAATACTATGCTGAAAAATGTCGTAGAAAACTAAATTCACCGGATAGATTCCCACTAAAATTGCTTTTCCTGTGTGTCATAGTTCTGTTAGGAAGAAGGGTCATTTGGGTATTTTTGAAAAACAAAAAATACTGTCTTGTTGGGCTGTTTATATAAAAATAACTCACCAAGTGTTTTATTTACTAGACGGATACCAGTTATAGAGGCAAAGTTAGCAAATGCTTGAGTCATCAATACAATTATAGCTCATAGGAAAATATGCTTTCTTAAATGGCCATTGTAGTTGTGCATAAAATACTGAATCTTGTGACAGTTCCTTCCAACTGTGGAGAATCCATCTT